AAAAAAAAAAAAAAAAAAAAAAGGAACATAGAATGTGAAATTGTAGCCAGGCCTGCTTCATCTTATTTTTTTTTAAATTTATTTTTTTAGAGACAGGGTCTCATTACATTGTCCAGGCTGGTCTTGAACTCCCGGCCTCAAGGGATCCACCTACCTCAGCCTCCCAAAGTCATGGGATTACAGGTGTGACCCACTGCCCCCAACTCCTGCTTCATCTTCTAATGCCAAACTGATAGAAAAATCAAAACATATTGACCAGTGAAGACATACTATAGCAAAACCAACTGCTGATAGTAGATCAACTCAATCCAAAGAAAATTCAGAAGAGAGAAAAGCTCATCTGAATGAGTGGAAAGCTGGCAAAGAAACAGTGCTGAAAAGGCCTCCTAACTCAATAGTTACCTAGTGTGAGTCTTAAGGACAAAATGAAAAACCATTTGGGTCCTTTTGGACTACCATGGCAGAAAATGAACAAAAACTATTTACTGAAAAGGCAGGCAACACATTTTCTGAATGCCTAAACCTAATTAATGAGGGATGCCCAGAAGAAGAAATATTTGTCACACTGAACAACCTGATTAAAAATATTCCGGATGCCAAAAATCTTATAAAATACTGAATATGTCTTACATACACTGAACCAACACCAAGTCCTATTGAAAGTATTCTTGCAATCTATGAGAAGACCATTCTGTCAGGGGCTCAGCCTATTGAAGAGATGTGACACATAACTGTAGATATTCTAACAATAAAGAGTTAAGAAAATGTCAGTTTTGGAGAAAATACTGAGGAGACTTGTGAAAACAAGGAACAGGTCCAAGAGGTCAACACTGAAGACATGGTGTTAATCTAGAGTAAGGAAAACCAGAAATGGGGAATAGACATTTTTTTATGCTTCCACAGACATGGAAGGGAACAGACATCATGGAAATGTGCTATTTAAAGATTCTGAAAAACAGCAGATGACAAAACAAAAGATCCAACCAATAATGTTAAAATCCCCAATACAGAAACTAGGGCAAGTTGCTTAATTAATATAATGTATTTACTATGTCATACTTGCAAAGTGTAAAAAAAAGAAGGTGCAATTTGATTAAACAAACATTTAAAGAGCTCAAGTTTTTAACACCAGTAAGATGTTCTCAACGTCAACATAAAACTTTAACATTGCCAGGTATGTTGAAAGATCACTGGTGTCCTTGTGTGTCTTCATTGGAAGAGTTAACAGAGTTGGGAAGTGATACTGACGCTGTTGTATGCTGTCCTAATGTAGTACTATGCTGAATGTACTCTGAGACTGAAATAACAGATGAAATAGAAAGCTCTGGTAATGAAAAAAATATCAATGCCACCTCCCTCAAACTGCTATCACCAAATCGTGAAATGCAAAAGAGGGAACATGGGAGATGATGCTGGAAGAGTGGGCAGGAGCCAAATCACAGAGCTCCATGCACCATTAAAAAGGCTTGGACTTAATCTTGTGGGTGATTCGGAGGACTGAAGAGCTTTTAAGCAGGGAAGCAGCATGATTCAACTGCCAAGGAGATAGGAGGAAATGCTCAAACCTGTCTCTCTGAGCTGGGGGTTGGGTTTTATAAACACAGGGTAATGAGGCGTGATCTGATTGCATTTTGCAATGAGATGATGCCAGGAGGCATAATATGACTGGATCCTGCCATGAGGTGATGCTAGAGCTCATCTGATTGGATTCTGGATCCTGCTATGCGGTGTCTGCTTCTCAATTCAGTCTCCCCCACCCTTCTTGGTCTGAGCACTCAGGTTTCCTGTGTGGGTAGCACATGTGTTCATCTGTGCATGCTCAGGTTACATGACTTTCAACCTGGGGTCCATGGCAACTGAGAAATAACTCACAACTTTGTTACATAAAAGTTGAACCACATTGGCCTGATGTGGTTGCAATAATGCAAGACAGAAAATTCAGAAAAGAGGAGTCGGGGGCAAATGCTAGGGCAGGAATTCAGATTTTGGTTGTGCTATTTGGTTATGATAGGTCTTTGTAGGTCTTTTTAAATACAAGGATCTTGAGAAATTTGACATTAAGTTCTTAAAACCTTTCTTATATCCTTTAAAGGCATTGTTTTTCAAAGAAAGAAGTAATTTTGCATCCCAGCAGACATCTGGCAACGTGTAGAGATATTTTTGATTGTCACAACTGGATGGAGGGGTGCTACCGACATCAAGTACATAGGGCCCAAGGTTGCTGCTTAGCATTCTACAATGCACCAGTCTTCCATAAAAAAGAATTATCTGGCCCAAATATCAATAGTGCCAGGACTGATACACTTGGTTCTGGGGACTAGAGGAATACCAGCATCTTACTTTATAATTTTGCCCAGGGCCAGACATTGGAGAGTATGGATGGGTCAATTAAAAAACATCACCACCACTGAATAGCCAATGAATGGAATCTGAGTGTTGGCAGAGAAATCAAAAGGTATCTAACTCAACCACTCAGCTGATATTTGAATATCTGCTTCAATAACCTGTCAGTGCATGAGAAGGTTCATTACACAAAACACCTCTAACATATCCACAGGTTGAGAGCCTAACTTTAAAGAATCTCATCTTTTGTAAGGTGTTCAGTTTCTATTTTTCAGTTGAAAATTGGCCTCTCTGTAACAAGTAACCCACTGGACCCAGTTTCACTTCTTAGGTTCACAAAGAACAATTTCTTTTCATCATAATTATCTTTGAGATTTACAAAAGAATAAATTCTGTTTCTCCTCTGCTATGACTTTAGCTTTACATAAAGAATAAGAGCGGGCTGGGCACGGTGGTTCACGCCTGTAATCCCAACAATTTGGGAGGCTGAGGGGGGTGGATCGCTTAAGTTCAGGAGTTGGAGACCAGCTGGGCAACATGGTGAAACCTCTTCTCTACAAAAAATACAAAAATTAGCCAGATGTAGTGGCATACATCTCTAGTCCTAGCTACTCGGGAAGCTGAAGTGTGAAGATGGCTTGAGCCCAGGATGCAGAGGTTGTGGTGAGCCAAGATCATGCCACTGCACTCCAGTCTGGGTGACAGAGCAGGCCCTGGTCTCAAAAAAAAGGGAATAAGAGTAAGTGAGCACATAGCATTTTCTTTTTCTTTTCTTTTTTTTTTTTTTTTTTTTGGAAACAGAGTCTTGCTCTAACACCAGGCTGGAGTGCAGTGGCCCGATTCCGGCTCACTGCAACTTCTGTTTTCTGGTTTCAAGCAAGTCTCCTGCCTCAGCCTCCTGAGTAGCTGGGACTATACAGGCACG